GAATGGCTCCCAGTGCCAGAGGGCAGGGATGGGTGGGAGATTGGGAATTGGGAATTGCCAGAGCAGCTGTGGCTGCCCCTGGATCCCTGGCAGTGTCCAAGGCCAGGCTGGACAGGGCTTGGAGTAGCCTGGGACAGTGGGAGGTGTCCCTGCCAAAGGAACGAGATGAGTTTTAAGCTTCCTTCCAACCCAAACCATTCCATGATTCTAAATTATACTCAGATGTTGGAGTTCTGAATGCTGAGAATTTCAGACTTTCTGTGCTGACAGACTCTGACCCCCAAGAGAACTCTGTATTGACCTGAGGCCGTGGAGAAGCTTCCAAAGTTAATTAATAGCACTAAAATTACGAGTTTGCGGTTTGAATGGAAGTGTGTAATATCACTAGGTAAAAAATTTAAAGTTTTAAAATACAGTAATATATATAAAACAAGACAGAAGTTCTAAGTTTAAAGACAGAAGCTAGTCCTTTTTTACCTTCCTCTTCACCTTCTTCCTCATGGGTTTGGGTGGCAGAACCAACACTCAAAATGTGTAACAACATCTCTCCCTCCCATTCACCCATAAATTCAACAAAACCACAGATCAACTTCCATGGAAAAAACCATTCCAAATAACAACATGTGAGTGTGTACAGTACAAAGACATCCCAAAGAGATTTATTTTAAAGCCAACACTCTGCCTTATCACAAACCAAGAATTCCAGGATTCTGATGCCAAATAAAGCCCCCTCCAATTAAGTACGTTCTGCCATAAAACCTTGCTCTGTATGAGGCAGAAATAGAGATTATAAAGCCTTCTCCCTTAGAGAAGCATCCCTGTGGCACCAAGAGAGCTCAGAGCTCCTGCTGGGGCAGCTGAATCTCTGCTCCAGCCTGGAGGAGGGGCTGTCTCTTCCCAGAGAGTCCCAGGGAACATCAGAGCTGACAGGAGCAGCTTGTTGCACCAGCTGCTGTGCTACATTTAGATAATAAATGTGTTTAACTACACACAGAAAAAATAAAATTATGTCACATCCACCACAGACCTGCTCATCCAAGCATCCACAAGATGCATCTTTTCCATTTACCTACTCACAGGACACCCTGCAACCACAGCATCCAGCCAGGCTAACGAGGAGGTTGAGCTGCAGTCCTTAATGAAATTAGCAGGGATAATTTGGAATTTCCCTGGACAAGGGGTCTCTGTTTTCAGCTCTGTAACCAGCAGGATCTGCCTAATGATGCAGCAGCACCCTGGGAGCTGCACCAGCTTCTTCTCAAGGTGGGAACCTGAGGACAGAATGGGTCAAATGAGCTCTGGTGGGGTCCAGCTGCAGGTTTGCTACTAAAAAATGGGCATTCAAAAGGCAAAAAACCCCCACTGACATCTTCTCTCCTTAGTTTTGATTTAAATGGTCAAAAATTACTTTTCCTTATTAATTTTCTTTTCTAAGAGGCACCAGTGGTGCCTTTAAAGCTTGTAAAAAACCACCCCAATGGAAAAGCTTGTAAAAAACCACCCCAAAAACCAAACAGCACACAAATATCATGGATGGAGGTGCTAACAGAAAGTGCCAGTATGGCTTGTGAGAGCTTGGCAGACATTCCTTCTGAAATCTCTCCCTGCAACATATGGGATGTTCCTCACTGATAAGTTTTAAGTTGTTATTTGGAAAAAAAAAAAAAAAGGGAAAGAAAAAATAAGATACTTCAATCTGAAATGATGCTTTAATTTGCAAATTTTGTGCAGAATGCACAATTTATGCCAATAATTAGCATTTTAAAAGGCTATGCAGTGCTGTCTGGTATCTCCTGAGGATGTGAGTGAGATTTATTGAAGCACATAAAGTCTTGTGTCCCTTTTTGAGAAAGTATTTCATATGCAGGGCTGCCAATTAGAGCAGGACTTATGGAATGAATGAACATCTCTGCACTGTGACCTGAGCTGAAGTTAATCCACCTTGTATCTGTGGAAAATGGAGGAGGGAGAAAGATAAAGCAGAAAAATGTAATGATTCCAAGGCTGAAGCTTTATTTCTGGTCACTGTTAAAACAGCAGCTTACACTGAGGCTATGTGCATTCTGTGTAATTCCATCCCACAAAAACTGAAGTTTTTACATTGATTTTGGTGACTAACTTTGAGCCAAGGGCTGTGGATCCTTTTTCTCTCTGCTTTGGACTGCTGGCTCTTAAACAAAGTGAATAACAGAGCAGTGAAGTGGCAGGAAAGGGGTGGGGAGCTGCAGGCCGGGGCTCTGAGGTGACAAATGACACACAAGTGACATCAAAAGGTTTACCCTGGCACCCCAGAGGAGGCTGGAGTGGCACCAAGAGCTGTGGGGACACAAGAGGCTGATGACACGGTGGCACAGAGTGACAAAGGGAGGGTGACAAAGCTCCCACCACAGAATCCCAGCAATCCCAGCTCTTCCCACGGGAGCCACTGGGTTTGTCAGTGCTGAGGGAACCTGGAGCTATTTGGGACACACCTGTTGAGCCATCCAGATCTGTAATTAACACCTTTCAGCCTCCTCTTCCAGCTAATGAGGGATTCCTCAGTGCCACCTTGTCCCCCACACAGCTGCCATCAGGACTTGGTGACTTTTCTAGGATTCAAACCCATCTTTTCAGGTGCATAAAATCACAGATTGCTTTGGATTGGAAAGGACTTAAAGATCAAAAAGTTCCAACCCCTGGCATGAATGAGGATGCCGCCCACTAAACCAGGGATCCAACCTGGCCTTGAACACTGCCAGGAATGGAGCAGCCACAGCTCTGGGAAATATCATTCCCCAGAGCCATCTGCAAACCAAAACACATCCAGTGAAGAGATTCCACAGCCTTTTTGGCCACATTCTGCCTTTCAGCCAGGCTCTGTGCAGAGAACTCCATGAGCAGCCTCACAGCAAGAGCTTCATCCATGGAAGGCTCCTGTCCTGCTAGGAATGACAACATTCCTGTGTCTCCCCATTCCCCCTCTTTTACAGGATGCAATTTGCTTGCCCACCATCCCAACACCCAGCTCTGAGAGATTCCACTCCAAAATTAACTTTCCCATGCCACTTAATCAAAAATGTTCTGCTCAGCTCCTTCCCAGTTGTTACACACTGAATTCACCCAGGTGAATTTGCTTTTCCAGCATCCCAACATGCAGCTCTGAGAGACTCCATTCAAAAATTAACTTTCCCATACCACTTAATCAAAAATGTTCTGCTCAGCTCCTTCCCAGCTGCTGCTTCACCCAGGTACCACTGAGGAACAACATTCCCCAAATGAGGAACCTCTCCCTGCTCAGCAAAGCCACCAACCACAGGAGCCAGGATTTCACACAGAATCCTTTCAAAAGTCAGTAAGTTCAATTCCCACCTTGTCCTGAGAGGAATAGTGGATTTGTCTTTCCAAACAAGCTGTGGGTGTGCTGGTAGACAAAACCAGCACTGGGAGATAAAAGAAACAATGGGAAGGATTCTTCACTGATTGATGAATGGAAAAAGATATTTGCTTTACAAATAAACTTTAGGTGTGCTGGTAAATGAAATTAGACATTGAAAGGTGAAAGAAACAACGGGAAAAAAAAACCCCTAAATTCTGTAAGAATTAAAAATTAAAAGGGAGGGTTGTACATTAGAGGGGAATCTCTGGTATCAGGCATTTTGGGAAGTCTGAACATCTCAAGTACCTCAGTCAATGGGGAAAGAGAGAAGGGAAATATGGCTGGGAAATTTGGATAAAAAGGGGAGAGAAGGAAAATGAGGCTGGGAAATTTGGATAAAAAGGGAGGCTGCATCCTCCAAAAATGTGAGAGATCCCAGAGGAATGCCCCATGGCCTCTCTCTTTATTTGAATAAAGTCAAAGGATTCCTCTGTCTCCTTTTTGGACATAAACCTCTGGTGTTTGTGGATTAATTTTCCTAACAGTCTCCAGCCCATAGCACTGAGTGTCACCTCTTGGACACCTCCAGGGATGGGGACTCCAAACCTCCCAGTGTGGCATTCACATTCTCTGGAAAAATCCCTTTGCCCAGGATTTTTCTCCTGGGAAGCTGAGAAGCCTCAGAGAAAAGGAAAATAATTCTTATCTCATTTGCCTCTCCTGTGTTGTGCTCACATGTGGAATGTGTTTAGAGATTGTTTCATTATTTTCTGCTGTGAGCTGTTTTGACTCTTTGGCCAATTTTGGCCAAGCTGTGTTGGGGCTCTGGAAAGAGTAATGGGTTTTCATTATTAGCTTTTTAGCACTGTGTAAGTATCTTTTCTGTATTCTTTAGTATAGTTTAATATAGTATTCTTTAATATAATAGAGTATTATAAGCTGAGGAGCCTCAGAGAATATGAAAACAATTCTTATCTCATTTGCTTCTCCTGTGCTGTGTTCACATGTGGAATGTGTTTGGAGATTGTTTACCCACAGGTGATTGTTCCATTGGATTCTGAATTGTTTTGACTCAATGGCCAATCAGTGCCAAGCTGGGTCAAGACTCTGGAAAGAGTCTGGAGTTTTCATTATTATATTTTTAGCATTGAGTAAGTAACTTTTCTGTATTCTTTAATATAGTTTAGTATTCTTTACTATACTATACTATAATATGGTATACAGTAATAAATGAGCCTTCTGAGAACATGGAGTCAGATTCATCACTCCTGCCTTTATGGGGACATTCCCAGCAAATACAACCCTCCCTGGGCAGCCCCTTCCAATGCTCAACAACCATTCCATGGAGAAATTCCTGCTGATGTCCAAGCTGAGCCTGCTGAAATTTGAGGCTACATCCTCTTCACCATTTCCCCAAAAGTCACAAGTGTTGGTGATAAAATCAGAATAAACCTTTGCTCTTCTGGCTCATAGTTCTCCCTAAATCCATACATCCCAATTGATATAAAAACCAGTGTACCCACAACACAATAATTAATAACTCAGGAGAAGAGGAGGAGAAGGAAAACAGGCAAAGACTCAGCCCAAACCAAAGGCTCTGCAGTCAGTCACATTAAGGCTGCTTCAAACACCCCAAAGCACTCACATGGCTGTGTTTTTGATGATCCTTCCTTGGTCCATTTTCTGCCCAATGCCATGCACAACAAACACAATGTGGCTGGTCTGGGGTGGCTTGTCCTCTAACGTGGCTTCTTCTACATAGCCCCTGTGTAGCCTTGTCCCACTGCTTGAAGCTGCACAAAGAAAATCATCCCCACGTCAGTGACATTCTGCCAGGTGCAGGGCTCCCCTCTGCTGACAGAAGCTTGGCCTTTCTCAGGCCAGCACGTTGAAAATCAGATTATATAATAGAGAATCATAAAATTAAAGGATTAGCATCTATTTTAAAATATGTGCGTACAGTACAAAGTCATCCAAAAGAGATTTATTTTAAAGTTAACACTGTCTTATCACAAACCAAGGAATTCCAGGATTCTGCACCTGATGGCAAATAAAACCCCCTCCAATTAAGTTCATTTTGCCATTAAAAAAGTGCCTATATTTTTAAATATAGGTACTTTTACAGCCCTGAAAGATTTAGGCAGCCAGGTGATATCAACAGCCACTTCCACTGCAAAGAGAATTAATTTCAGGCATGTTTTGGAGAACAATTCTTCAGAAAACAGTTGTGTAACTGTGCACCCACACTGACAACACAAAATCCCTCTCCTGGGTGTCTCAATCAATGAAATTCCTTCTGTCTCCCCCTTACTCCCACAGCCTGGAAGGATCATGGAAATGACCTGTCCACATAAGTGATTAAATGTTGTCACTTTATCACCCCAATTAAAAGAGCTGGCTGAATACCTTTAAAATTTATCATTTTCATATGAAAAATTGCTTTATTAAATATAGGCAGTTTTAAAGCCCTGGAAGATTTGAGCAGCCAGGTGATATCAATAGCTACTTCCACTGCAAAGAGAATTAGTTTCAGGCGTGTTTTGGAGAACAGCTCTTCAGAAAAGAGTTGTGTAACTGTGCACCCACTTTTACAGCACAGAACCCTTCTCCTGGGTGTCTCAATCAATGAAATTCCTTCTGTCTCCCCCTTACTCCCACACCTGGGAGGATCATGGAAATGACCTGTCCACATAAGTGTTGTCACTTTATCCACCCCAATTAAAAGAGCTGGTTGAAAACCTTTAAAATTTATCATTTTGATGGGGAAAACTTGCTTTATTTTGAGCTGATCCAACCTGAAATTCCCCCCTTGTTCTTCAGCTCAGTGACCAAACCCAAGCCCAGTTCCCCAGGGTAAATTGGGCATTTTCTCCCTGCTGTGCTGACAAACCCATGGGCACAATGTGCCTCCATCCCCCTCTAGTGACACTCAGGGGACCACACCAGGCACCAGTGCTGGCCTCCAAAACTGGAACTAACAGCTTATTTTGGTCTTAAAGAGGAGGAAAACACCCCAAACCCACTGAGGGCATTCTTTTACCCAAGACAGGTTTTATTTATCAAGTGAGTTTCTCTTTGACATTTCTCGTCCACAAATTGTTTGGGACAGATCTCATTATTTATTACACATTATCCCCATGGTGTTCTGGATAAATTACTTCATTTCTTCTGGAACTGAAGCACTGAATTACATTATTTTTTTAGGAAACATTAATTAAGTGTTCACCCAGGAGTCCTGGAGGGTAAGAGGGCATTAATTACAGGGCAGAGGATGCAGAATAGAGTCAGAGCTGTGACCTGACCTTGTCTCTTCAAGGAACAAACCAGATGTGCAGGTTCTTGCTCTGGTATCCTGCAGAGGACAAATTCTCATTTTCTAGGATGGAAATAATCTGCTTTTTCCTTGAGAGACCTCCCCCTTCTCTTCCAACCATCTCAGCTTTGCTGCCTGACTGGGAGTGTTGAGTTTAAATGAGGCTGAATTTCTACTGGAAATAATTTCTGTCTAAATGCCCTTTCCTGTCAGTTCATACTATTGTTTTATGAACAGAAAAAAGGCTGGATGGAGGTGGGGAGAGGGAAGGTATGGTCATGTTTTTAAGGAATGCATCACAATATCTAAGTACCCAGCAGTAAAATTAAGGTTGCAAAAGGAACTGTAATCCTTATATTATTACAGGAATAATTCTAATTTTACATTGAATTCTAATTTAATTCTAAAGGAATAATCCTCATTTTACATTTCATTCTAATTTAATTCTAATTTTAGCTTCTGGCCTCTGCCACTGCAATATTTTCATGTGTTTGTTATGTAGCACTAACTGCTGCATCCAAACCCATAAAAATAAAATAAAATTATAATAAAATTATAATTTTAAATTTAAAGTTAAATAAAAATAAATATAAAATTAAAATATAATAAATCAAATATGTAATGTAAAGAAAATAAAATTTAAAAATATTCAAATCCAAATAAAATAAAATTTAAAAATATTTACATCCAAATAAAATAAAGTTTAAAAATATTTACATCTAGTTACAATTATTTACACAAGCTAAGGACTCTGAATACTCATATAAAGTAAAAAATGCAATGGCCCAAGTGGAGTACTCACATTAAAACCTTTTGGAGTTAAACTTCAAATGCTGGCATTTACAAGATTCTTTACAAAGTCTGGCAAAGATTTACCTTTGGAAAACCCCAACTTTTGTGTGACAGTCCTTGCAATTTTGGATGTTGTGGCATCACTGTACAGATAGACCTCATCCACACTGTGCCAGTCCACATGGTTACGGCTCAGCTTTAGGCTGTGAATGGCTGCAGCAAAAAGGAATAAATAAATTGAATTTGGGTGGGGAAGAGGGGAAAAACCCCCAAAGACAGAGAGAGAGAAGGGTGATTTAAATATAGGTTAAAATCTAGAGCTCCATTATGCTTAAATTTGTGTTCTTTCTTACCTTGAGGAAGTTTTACATTTTCCTTGAGGAATTTTTTGGGTTTAACCTGAGCAGGACAAGCAGAAGTTTGAAGACCACCTGTGAGGACACTTCACATCATTCCCTTCCCACCCTCATTTTGGGGTGGGAATTACCCAAAATATTCCCTTAAAGGGGGCAGAGGAATGGATCCTGAAACACTAGAGGTGGGTGTGATGAGCAGGTGGCCGCCCCAGGTATTTCCATCACTAAAAAGTGGAATTTCAGCCCTCTCTCCCATGCTCTGCTCTAACACGGAGGCTCCCAGGGCTCCCTTGCATTTCTCCCCTTTCAAAAATACCTCAGGGCTGGAAATGCAGCTCAGTGAGCCTCTGAATGGGCAATTTCTGGCACAGAACAGAATGCAGCTCTTTGAAAAGCCACTAAGAGCTCTGGTGGTTGGGTTTTTTTTGCTGTGCACTGATTGTGTTTTTCCAGATTTGGAGCTGATTGAGCTCTGAGCCCGACCTCATGACACACAGCCTGACTGTCAGGATTAAACAACAGGCACGTTGTGATGCAAATCAAAATCATCCCAGGCTTGGAGGCTTGCAGGAGCCAAGCTGGGTTACAATGATTTGGATTTCACCAAAATTCGCTGCTGAGGTCCTGTTGAACATGGGGTGTAAAACATCTGCAGAGGTGACAACAGCAATAGCCCTGTGACCAAAGAAATGGTGATTTATCTGTCACTGCTCTTGCTGGGAAGTCCAAAGTCATGGAAAACACCCAGAGGGGCTGGTTTGAGGTTGTTTTCTTCCACAGCAAGCAGAGCTCTAACCTGTCTCCTCCTTGAATCACCCAAATGAATTTTTTATACTCTCCTAAAAACATTCTGAGAAAGCCTGAGCCATCACAATTTCCAGTTTTAACTCTGCTACAGCACAAACCAGGCTCAGGCAGATGTTGTGATCTTTCTCCAGCAAAATTTTGTGTTTCTTTGCCAAAGCAGCAGACTTGACACAGACTGATGAAAAACTAAAGAAAATCTGTAAGGAGCACGGGGATTAAGAGAGGATTAGCCCTTGTGTTGTGGTAAACAACTGATTCACCAAAATAACTGGAATTACATCGGTGTTTTCCACTAGAAGAGCAGGAAGAGGAAAGAAATAAGCCTGGCTTTGAAGAGCAGAGATGGTCTGGTCTGTCCAGGAGGTGCTCAGGCGTTGTTCCATCTGCATTCTGCAAAATCCCCCTGAGAGAATGATCCTGGGGAAGCTGGCAGAGGAGGGGTGGAAGTCTGATGCCTTTGGAGGGTGTTGTGTTCAACATCCATAAAAAGAAGAGGAAGAGATGAGGTTGAATATCTAGAAAAAGAGCAATTTGTGGTGGAGCGATCCTCAAATTCCTTCTGGAATCGAGTCCAGCCTCTCTACTGGAAGGAACATAAAGGAACAAACAGCTTTTCTCTACCCTGCATTAATTATTCCCACTTGGGGAGAACAAATTCCTCACTTTTATGTTGTTCATGGACATGGAAGGAACATCAACATCTACAAGATGTGGAAGAACCAAAGTATTTCAAATGAAGTTCAGCAGGGCCAAGTGTGAGGTTCTGCACGTGGGTCAGGGCAATCCCAAGCACAAATTGAGGCTGGAGGGAGAATGGATGGAGAGCAGCCCCAGGGAGGAGGATTTGGGGGTGCTGGGGGATGAGAAGATCAACAGGACCCAGCCATGTGTGTCTGCAGGCCAAACGTGCCCAGGGCTGCATCCAGAGAAATGTCACCAGCACAGAGCTGGGGGGGCTCAGGCTGGAGAAGAAAAGGATCCAGGGAGAGCTCAGAGCTGTTGGAACCCTGGGAATTGCTGAGAATTCCAGACTTTCTGTGCTGCCAGGCTCTGACCCCCAGGAGAACACTGCACTGACCTGAGGTGTGGAGAAGCTTCCAGAATGGAATGACAGAACTGGGATTGTGGGTGTGGGGTTTGAACAGAAGTGTGTGATATCACAGGGTGGAAAACTCAGAGTTTAAGGGTTTAGAATATGGTAATAGATATAAAACAAGATGGAGGTTTTAGGGCAGAGACTGCTCCTTCTTCTTCACCTTCTTCTCCATGGGTTTGGGTGTTTTTGTGTAATTGGATAAAAAGTCCCCATTGCAGCCATGGGTGGTTGGTTATTGGGTTAAAAGTGAAAATAATTCAGGTGTCATTTCTTAATTGGACACCTTAATTAATTGGACACTTAATTCTTAAGTTTATCCTTAAAAGGCCTTAGAGAGAGAGAGATGGGGCTCCATTTTTAGTTTGTTAGAGTGAAGTGCTGCAGAACTCAGGGTCTGTGAGACTGTGACAGAGATAAGAACTGATAAACATCTGAGTCCCAACAAGAAACACCATCTTGTGATGACCTTGTGATAAAAAGAAGACAAAACTCAACACAGAGCCCCTTCCAAGGCCTGAAGGGGCTCCAGGAGAGCTGGAGAGGAACTGCAGACAAGGGATGGAGGGACAGGACACAGGGAATGGATTTTAACTGGAAAAGAGCAGGTTTAGGTTGGATATTGGGCAGAAATTCTGCCCTGTGAGGGTGGCGAAGCCCTGGCACAGGGTGCCCAGATCCCTGGCAGTGCCCAAGGCCAGGCTGGACAGGGCTTGGAGCAGCCTGGAAGGTGTCCCTGCCCATGGCAGGGGTGGCACTGGATGAGCTTTAAGGCCCCTTCCAGCCTAAATCTTTCAGGGATTTGATTCTGTGATTGTTTGACAGTGAGGGGATTATTTAAACCCTTGAGAGTTCAACCAAAAGGAGCTTCTGCTGCTGACAGCCCCAGGGGGTGTTCACAGTGAGACAGGGAACACAAAAACGTGTCTTTTGGGAGGGTTTGACAGCAGTCTGAAAAGAAACATCCTAAAAAAAAATAAAATAAAATATTCTAAGCGTGCTTTGCAGTCATGGGATTTTACAGACTGACAGCTGGTGTGAAGCTGAGCCTGAGGAAGGGAAAGTGCTGTTTTGTGAGGATGAGGAGAGGACAGGACTGACAGAAGGACTGTCCTGAGAGGTTCCAGAGGGCTCAGAGTGGCAGCTCAGGGTGTCCCAGGTGTCAGGGAGCCACCAGGGTGTGCCACAGCCTGGCTGAGGGAGCCCAGGGCAGAACGCAGATGAGGCAGCAGCAGAGGCACAGGGGAATGAATCTCTTCTTGCTCATCCTCCAGGAGCACAAATTGCACACCTGAGGGGCCTCTGCAGGGTACCAGCCTGGGATGGTGCTCAGCTTCACTGAGAGCTGACTGTCCATAAATGCGTGGGGACAGAAATCTCCCTCTGGACCTGACTCCAAGAACTTGGATTTTAAAAGAGGGAGAAAAACTTTTTACACATGGGAAGATAGAGAGAGGAGAAGAGGGAAGGGTTTCAAACTAAAGGAAGAGAGATTTAGATTAGACTTAAGGAAGAAATTCCTCACTCGGGGTGGGGAGGCCCTGAGGTTGCCCAGAGAAGCTGTGGCTGCCCCTGGATCCCTCTGCATCCTGCAGGAGCACAAATTCCACACCTGAGGGGTCTCTGCAGGGTACCAGGCTGGAATGGTGCTGAGCTTCACTGAGATCTGCATGTCCATAAATCCACAGGGACAGAAATCTCCCTCTGGACCTGATTTCTCATGGATTTGTTCCCATGTGGCACCGCCCTGGCACTGACAGCACTCCCACAGACATCCCTCTGCAGGTGCATCTTCCCCAGATGCAGAAAAACCCTGCAGAAAACCCCTGCACACATTTTTCTGGAGAAGAGAAGGCTCTGGGAAAACCCTGCAGCAGCCTCCAATGTCACTGTTATGTTTTCTGGAAAAATCCCTTCACCAGGATTTTGTCTTCTGGGAAGCCGAGAAGCCTCAGAGAAAAATGAAAACAAGAATTATCTGATTTGCTTCTCCTGTGTCTTGCTGCTTTGGACCGTGGTTTGGAGAGTGTTTCTCCAACAGGTGATTGTTTGATTGGTTTCATGTGAATTGTTTTAACTTAATGACCAATCACAGCCAGCTGTGTTGGGGCTCTGGAGAGAGTCACAGATTTTTCATTATTATCTTGTTAAGCCTTCTGTCTGTATCCTTTCTCTATTCTTTAGTATAGCTTAGTATAATATAATATAATATAATATAATATAATATAATATAATATAATATAATATAATATAATATAATATAATATAATATAATATAATGTAATAATAAATTAGCCTTCTAAGAACATGGAGTCAGGTTCATCATTTCCTTCCTGTCATGGGAGACCCTGAAAATACCACACTCCAAGAACATGGAGGGGGATTTTAAAAGAGGGAGAAAAACTTTTAACATGGGGAGATAGAGAAAGGACAAGAGGGAAGGGTTTAAAACTAAAGGAAGAGAGATTCAGATGAGATTTAAGGAAGAAATTCCTTCCTCAGGGTGGGGAGGCCCTGAGGTTGCCCAGAGAAGCTGTGGCTGCCCCTGGATCCCTGAAGTGTCCAAAGCCAGGTTGGACACTGGGGCTTGGAGCAATCTGGGAAGGTGTGGAATGAGATGGGATTTAAGGTCCCTTCCAGCTCAAGCCCACTGGGATTTTAGTCAGGGATTGAAGGCCAAGGCCTTGGAGATGAGGCCAAATTTTGGGTTCTTTTGTAGCCAGAACTTAGAAATGAAACATTTTTCAGGAGCATCAACCAAGACAGACACCTACAGTGTGAGCATGTGAAAAGCTCAGCCCTGCTGGAGATGGAAGATGGGATCAGGAAAGGATTTCTTTCAGCTGAAGAAATCAATGGTTGCTATCACACAAACTCAGTTTCACCAAGAGAGATGAACCCTGAGGGAAAAAAATCCCCCTAAAATGTTGAAATCTGAAAAAGGAACCTTAAAACAC